AGGTACTCTTGTAATCGATGTGCTGTACAATTTCTTAAGCCAATAGATATTCCGATGCAGAAACTGCATTAAGTGATTCCTCGGCGTCTAAAACTTTCGAGTTTTATCATAAAGGCATGAATAAATTTGTATCTCGATGACGAAAATGTATAGATTTTCAGGGTTCATATTTTGACTGACTTAAACCCTGTTTAAATATATTAATTCAGGAAGAAATGTTGATTCTAAAAAAAAAAAAAACATTATTTTCAGAACAAGCTAAATAGTTAAGAACAAAACGTTTCTGAGGCAGAAGCTTTATGGGAATAAATAAAACGATATGCAGTGAATTTAATCGGTTCAAATCGAATTTCTAATAATAACGCAGACTTGGCTCGCTTGATTTTGGGTGTCATCCAATTATGGAAAAGAAAATCTCTGAACTCAAAACCAGCTTAGAGAAAGGGGGTGTACTCCGTCAGGCAATATTGCTCTAGGCACAGCCGTTATGCATCTAGGATTACACGACGTCTGATGCCCTAACAACATTAATGGGTTACGGGGATTTTGATTTAAATCCTTAAAAATATTTTCTTTTTTAACTTTTCTTTTAATTCTTTCACTCTAAGCAAGGCGATAAAGCCACTAAGACGTAAAGGGTTAAACGGAATGGAATTGAGAGAATAAGAAAACTGAGAATAAGGAGGGTTGAGGGAAGGATAAATAATGAACAGTTTTCAAGAAAATAAATAGAATGGACCATGACAAATACTGAAAATTAGATTATACGTCTCTACCTTTTATATCAATCTCATTAAGAATTTAACTTAAAATACTACACACCCACTCATCTTGAGCATAAAAAAAGAAGAGATGCCTTTACTCTTTTTATATGAGTTCAAGTTTGGTCACCATGCTTCTCAAACTGCTGCCAACAGTAACAGAATATGAGAGATGAACGTTCCACTTGTTGACGGATAGTACAGCGATGGTTTCTGGAGTTCCACAGTAGGGATACGAGTCTTGAAAATTAAGGTGGTAGAGGATGCCCATCTGTAATTGACAATCAACATCTGAAAACATTATTCGAACAAAATCCACACCAAAGCATCAAAGAATTGTCTCGATTAACGGCTGTCAGAATATCAACAATATAGAACCATTTAAAAAAAATTGGCAAGGTGAAGAATTTCGATGAATTGCTTCCACATAAACTCAGTGAAAGTTAAAAGCTTTGAAGTGTGTTCGATTCTGCATCTGCAAAAATCGAATGATCCATTTCTTGATTGAATGGTGATCTGTGATCAGAAATGGGCCGTTTTATGGCAATCGTAAAAGATCTGCCCAAACAATTATCAAAACCGAAATTTCACCAACAAAATCTTATGGTGACTGTCTGGTGGTCCACCATTAGCGTTATCCGTTACAGCCTTCTGGAATCTAACCAGAGTATCACAGCTGAAATTTACTGCAAGCAACTCGATGAAATGCACATTCAGGTAAACCAAATGCGACCGGTACTGGTTAATCGAAGACGTCCAATTCCACTTTTAACAGAGAATGGAGTGAAGGATCCAATTGTGATCGGATAGTACGGTGCTGGTTTCTGAAGTTCCTCAGTGGGGATACGAGTCTTTATGATCAAGGTAGCAGTCCATCTGCAATTAACAGTCAACATCCGTAAAAACTAGTCAAACAAAACCCACGTCAAAGGGCCAGAGAAATGTCCCAGATGGTAGTTGTCAGCATTTCAACAATATCGGAGCACCTCAAGAAAACTGGCAAGGTGAAGACACTCGATAATTGGGTTCCAGATTAAGTCACTGAAAGTCAAAGCATTTGAAGTTTTGATGTGTGTTCGGTGTTGCATCTGCAAAATTCGAATGATCCAGTTCTTGATAGAAGACTGATTTGTTCGACGATTAAGAATAAGCCTTCAAGTGTATTCTAATATTATCATATAATCACTCCAGGCAGGGTGGTAATGCTACTAGAACACAATCTGAGGACGAAGGGTAGATTTGTAGATGTGTAAGATGGACTCTGGCACGACACAGTGAACCAACTTTCCTTGCAGTAGATGCTGCTAATAATTCAATGTAGTTGTTTTATTTCAAGTCAGTTGAAAAAATGAGGCCAAGAATGCACACTGAGACACTTTCACGAAGATGTTTTTCACCAAAAAGCTTAATCGGTTCAAATCGAATTTCTAATAATTGCGCTGACTTGCCTCTCTTGATTTTGGTTGTCATATATCTCTACCTTACTCGTCAGGCTACATGCGCTGTGTTTTTTTCTCGACTATTGTGGGTAGTCTATTCTAATGGTTATTTTGGCGAGAGTAGTTTGTTCATTAGTTTATTATTCACTTTATTTGGATTAATTTATTTTAGTTATTTTTGCTTATTTATTTTATTTTATTTAGTTTTCGATTTTTAAGTAACATACTAAAAATTTGTTTTCGCCTCTGAATTTTAAGGTGAGTTCTGAACTTTTATTTATTAGTTTGTTTTGGTCTGGGAAGTTAATTATAGCTATTTTTTCAGCCAAGCAGAATTTGCAGGTTTTGGGATTGATTGTTGTAGGCTGATGTTCTTTTTCTTATTTTCCACGGTATTTTTTGGCGTGATTTGCTTTTTGTTTTTAATTTCCCTGATATACTTGAAAAGCATTGTGCTGTTCGCGTATTTACTATTTGTGAAAATTTTTTTTTCTGATGATTTTACCGTAGCTTCGTACAGTGCATTGTTTTGTAAGCAATTGCCGTTTAAGGGGCATTCGTACTATATTCAGTAGTTACACGTGGGTTTAATTTGTTCGGGTGGTTTCTTGCTAGTTTTCCTCTTGTGTTTTTTATTATTATTTGTGCTATGTTCTCCACCCCACCAAATAACCGTTAGAACAGACTACTTACTCACACTGCAATAGACTACCCGAAATGCATCACTGACCCGTATATATAAATAGTAAAAAAGAACACAACGCATGTGAATGTAGAATATAGATACATGTACATGGCGAAGAGTCATAAAACAATTAAGATTGGTCCATGTGTGTGTGTGTGTGTGTGTGTGTGTGTGTGTGTGTGTGTGTGTGTGTGTACAAATGTGTTTACTAATTCGTAGTGAAACAGTGTGTATGTATGGAGAGGGAATGTACACATATATTCACGCATGCAGACAGAAACACAAGAAAATGGAAATAGATCTAAAAACACACAGAGGTCATTAAAACATTAAAATATAACCGATATATACCGATAACTAATTCATCATTTCTCTCGGACCAATCTTAATTGTTTTATGACCCTTCACACAGAACTCTTCATTGCCAGTTCAAGAAAGACATTCGGATTACTAACACAAAACAGAGAATGTCTCATATCGAGAATATTTAACATCGAAAAACATAAAGGAGAACAAAAAATTAATTCTTTTTAATAATATGTGGAAATCTCCGCCCTTTACCTGATGACGGTCGCGAGACCGAAAACACGTGTAGCAAAATTATGGAAAATAAAGCATAATATATATTTTTTTAAAATCCACAGTACAAACAAAAACTTTTGCGGTTTATCTGTTCTTTTTAATATGCACAATTTTCTCTCGTTGGAACCACTATAACATCTTCCTTTTATATATATATATATATATATATATATATATATATATATATATAGATAGATAGATAGATAGATAGATAGATATGGCCTGTTTAATATTATTTTTGCCTTGTTTTTTTTTTCTTTCTTTTCTCATTATTTATTGGAAGTTTTCTTTCGATTTTTGATTTTTAACTATGACCAATTACTATACACTAAACCAATGCATTAAGGTTTAAACTGTTCTAAAGTTGCTACGTATATCCCCACCAAATCACATCCCTCACGAGATGAGACTGAACGTGATCAACCTAGCGTTTTAAAAATCGCTGGTCAAAATAATTTTTGTTTAGTAACAAAAGAAGCACTCGTGTCGACGTGCATACACGCACGGAAGGACAAAGATAGAGGAACAATTTGAACATGTCAACGGTGTATATTTCTACTCCAGGCCCCAAAGAATAAAAGATGGGTATTTTAAAAATAAGTCGCCTAAAATGATTTGACAATTGTAGTAGCATATCAAGGTCTTGCTGAATAGCCTCCGGGCAGGACGCTAACGCTAAGGTAACTTCTTAACATAGAATAAGTGGAAGGGGGTGGAAAAAAGAAGTATTTTCACGGAAAGAGGCTAATTGTCTTTTTCTTTCTTTCTTTTCATTTTTTTTAGATTTGTTTGCTCTTTCTATTTTTCTCTTTTTTTTTTCTTGCTGTTCACTTGTTTTTTTTTTTTTGTTTTTTTTATCTTTTTGTTTGTACCTCCTAATCCGATCATATGAGCAGTAAACATTCCGTTCGAATAAATAATTAGTAGCTAACACTGAGAAAAATTATAACATGAAGCGACAGACAATGTACTCGAGATAGTGAAGAGTGACAAATAGATATATTTATAAGATGTATAGATATATCTATATACCTAATTATATACATCTATATACATAAATGTATATATATAGATATTAAGACACACTATTAATTCAAACAAATATCTCTACCTTTATCCAAGATCCAAGTGGGATATTTTGGGTCGGGGTTTTATTTATATTTAGTCGTCGTCATTTTTCAAATGAATTTGCCAGTGGTCGCTTGGTTAAGTGCATCCGTGAAAATTAAAACTTTTGCTGTAAGTTCATGGCGCAAACTCCTGACAATTTACTGGGACCACGAAACCCTTTGCTGAATGAGATATTATTTTGCTGATTAAAACAAAAATCATCGGACCATATTAAACCGAAAATGGAATTCATCACAGTGCAGGGATTTTAACATTTTATTACCTATTCTTTTGCATCGTTCATCTACTGAAACGCTCGCAATTTTATTTTGCCATCAAACATTCGGCCTTAAAGACGAATGTTTAACACACGAAATACAGTTATAAGTTCAAATAGCTTGCTGGAATGCTACGTAGACAGTTATGGAAAGTAAGTGCTTCATTTTTTTTGTCTTTCTTTTACTTTTCATTTCTGTTTTTCTTTCTTTTTTTTTTCCTTTATCTAACTGTTTTCTTTCGTGTCTCATATCTCATACATGTCTTAAGTTTGTTAAAAAATATTTTAAATATTACATAAAGCTAAATATCTGAAAAATCTTCATTTTACAAATAAAAATTAACAGAAAAAAACTATTTAAAACTGAAAACATGTTTCTTACTTGGACAGAAGATCAGGTAAAAAAGCAAAAAAAAAAAAAAAAAGCAAAAAAAAAAGCAAAGAAAAAAACGCCAAACCAACTTCCCTCTCACAAGCGAGATGCAGTGGGTCTCTCACTGTTCTATCACTACTTCCATAGAAAGTGATCTGACTATCTGACTAACTACATTCCCTGGTTCCGTCAGGTTTAACCTTTACGTCTAGGACCCTCTGTGCCACATATATTGTAGCAAACAACCTACATTCAATCCGTATTCCATCGGCGAGTAGTACGTTCTACTTGAACAGCTTCTTCCGTGAACCACTACCCTTTGGAATAGTCTCCCAAGAGGATGTTTCCCCGATCACAACAATCTTAACCTGTTCAAGTATAAGGTCAACCGTTAACTTACTAAGATCCATTGCTAAAAATACAGGTAAAATAGTCGGCTCTCTGCACCAATCCAGTGAGTACCTGAGTTCTCCTGCTGTCCTCTACATTTACTAGAGAGAGATCAGACCAAAAATGGAGTACTGTTGTCATATTTGAGCAGGAGCTGCCAAAACCTCACTCTCCAAACTTGATAGAATCCAAAGGCCTCTCTGAGTCCTTCTGGGAGACAAATTATTCTTAGCACCCTTCAACCTCTCTCCCACGGGCGAAAGGTGGCTAGCCTGTCGCCGCTTTATCGCTACTTCCATGGAAAGTGCTCGGACAAACTTGCCTGGGTCCCACGAGTTCAAACCTTTACGGCAAGGACCCGCCATGACACTTACATAGAAGCAAACCATCAACATTACCTCCATATTCCATCGGCGAAAAGTAAGTTCCACTCGAACAGCTTCTTTCCACGAGCCACTGCTCCGTGGAAACGACTCCCTAGAGGATGCTTCCCTGACCACTACAATGTTAACCTATTTAAATCTGGAGTTAACCGTTATCTTCTCGTATCCATATAAAGTACCCCTTAACGTAATATTTTACCTGGAGTCGTCCCGGGCTGAACCTTACTGTAAAGAAAATAATAATTTCAGGTAAAGAAAGAAAAATAAAGAAAGAAAGAAAAACGTGGTTCTTTCGATATGAGGCGTGTTAAAAAATCGACTATTATTTTCTTTGTGTGAGATGCATACGTCTCTTTTTTTTTTCCAAGATTTTGTCTGTCGACTCGTGTCATATTTACACCTGTACATTGAAAGCGTGAAATCAATTTTTCCTCATTTATTCCTATTTAATTATCTTGCATACGACACCCGCTCGTTTATCAAAGTGACAGAATTTTCAATAATTTGTAAAAGACCCGCACTTCTCCACCTGCTGACGTATACAAGGCGTATGAAAACCACACAAAATATACAAACAATATATATATATATATATATATATATATATATATAAAAATTGATATCAGTTATAATGTTTTACATTACTTCGATTCACTTGGATTATACACCAATATATATATATATATATATATATATATATATATATATATATATATATATATAACACCAATATATGTAGATATAGATATATTGGAGTATAATCCAAGTGAATCCTAGTAATATAAAAATATTATAACTGATCCACAAAAGAGCTCAATGTATTTATTATTGCAGAGCAAATAATTAATACAAAATAAAATCCAAAATCACCTCATATGGAGAATAAGCATATTTCCAGAGACAAAAATATTATTCGTCTGTCTTATCAACCCCCGGTATAGACTGGGTTCATGTGGGAAATAGACATTTAACCATGTATATATATATATATAAAACGATATATATATATATATATATATATATATATATATATATATATATATATATATATATATAAAATTCCCATGAGTATAGAATCCAGGTAGAAGTCAATGTCCAGCACAGAGTATTTGTAGGTCTGATGAATTGGATCGTGATTACGATTCCAATGTAATAAATTATAACCATGGAATATTAGTGTTTGAGCCTTTTAAATATATATATATATATATATATATATATAATCATTTTTTATAAAAAAAATTATAATATAAGTATGTTATAAAATCACTACAAAAATAGCCATTTTGTTTCAACACACTCTGTGTCTTATCAAGTGATGATGTTGAAAATAAAATCACTTGATAAGACACAGAGTGTGTTGAAACAAAATGGCTATTTTTGTAGTGATTTTATAACGTACTTATGTTATAATTTTTTTTATAAAAAATAATTATATCTGTTCTACTTTGTATTGAGCACTCTTTTAAGAATAGTGATCGTTGGTTATTGGAATTCATTCCGTATATACCAATTATATACTTTGGAAAAAAAACTCAGATAGCTTAACTTGTAAATATATTGAAAGCATTCGCTGCAGAGGACAAACTTGGAAATAAAAAAAAGTACTAATAACATCCGAACAAGGCGAAATAGATCGTCCAGTGCCTTAAGTCTTTAGTCCAAAGAAAAAAAAAGCAAGCCAGTAGTAGTAACACTAAAACTTAGAGTGCACAATACGCAAAGTAAAGTGAGAATAACAAAAATAAATCCTTAAAAAAGCCAGGAAAATCTACTTAGGTTTCACCGAAATGGATCTTAAGCATACCCTGAAGATCCGTTTAGGTGAAACATAGGTAGGTTGTTTCTGGCTCTTTAGATTTATTTTAATTATATATATATATAATAAATATAAATATATATATATATATATATATATATATATATATATATATATATATATATATATATATAGTCATTCAGTCATTCACAGACAGACTGTTTTCTGCTGTATCACAGCTTATCAGTTTGACTAAACATCCGATTGCTTAAAGCCGGGATTGAAACCCGGCTGATATTGCATCTATCGGAGAATCCACCCCTATGCACGGTAGAGATGAAGACGAATTTTAGCGTATTTACTTTTTAAACAAACTCGCCGGTGACCGAGAGAACTCAATTCATTTAGAATAGTCTTGCAACAGTGATAGTCACGGTTTACAATATATATATATATATATATATATATATATATATATATATATATATATATATATATATATATAAAACAACGAGAATTATAAATATATATAACAAATATATATATATATATATATATATATATATATATATATATATATATATATATATATATATATATATATATTTTAAATATATATATATATTCTTGTTGATTCACTTAGGTACAAATACCCTGGGAAATCCAACTCTTCTACCCCCCAGCTATGGATTAATGAATAAGATTTGTATCAATAACTCATTATCACCTCCTAAATAAAATTACAATCTAAAAATGACTGGCTTTACATAGCCATCAAAGTGTTGATAAGCTGTAAAAATCCACTCAATCACTCAAATAACTAAATAGAGCCGACATGTCTGTAGACTTTCCTGTTTGTAAATCGATTAATTACATTACGTTATTCTTAATAGTCTGTATTTAAAAGATTAATTATAATGCCTGCCACTAATCTGGTGACATATGCCATTTTTTTTATTATCTCACTCCAAGCAAGGCAATGAAGCCACTAAGACGCAAGGGTTTATTGAGTGTGTAAGAAACCGAGAAAACTATGGGGATAGGACAATAAAAGAATAACAAATAGAAAATAGACTTGGATGTAGGGGCAGTGTAACGGCTATCGGCGTGGAAAGCGAAATCAACATGCTGGGTTCCAACTACTTTGCACTAATGCTGTTAAGAGAAGAGATGAACCGATTCCCTCCAGCTATGGGTTAAATAACAAAGCAGACTGGGATACCTGTAGTGGGATGGGGTACGTCAGCTAATTTTGTCCTAATCACATTCAATGCTGCTATGATGAATCTAGGACCCAGATTTTTTTATTTTTTTTTTATTAATCAGTTCATCCCAATCGAGTCGATAATTCCACAATGACGCAAAGGGCTACTGGGAATGAAAGATAATAAAATTTTAGAAGGAACCACGACTCTAGTCCTAAACAGGAAACCTCTACTCCTTGATTATTAGATGTGGAGTGCAGTTGAGCGGGATAGCAACAAAACTCCTTGTAAGACTAAAGATGAACTGAAAGCAAGGATTATGTTAGCATTCGCCAACTTAAACAAGGAGACTGTCCCAAAAAGTTGCAGGAGATTCTGATGTCGTCTGGAGGTCGTGGTTGAAGTCAATTTATTGTATAAATTTACTCGTTAGTATTTCAAGATATTTTTGTCTAATTTTGGTAAATATATCTGTTAAAATGAGATGTCAGTGTTATTTTCATTTTTGAGTCATTTAGACGACAATTTATCAATCGCAGGCTATGCATACATATATTCATCAACTTAAACAAGGAGACCTTCCAGAAGAGTTGCAGGAGATTCCGAAGTCGTCTGGATGTTGTGGTTGAAGCCAATGGTGATTTTATTGAATAAATTTACTCGTTAGTATTTCAAGATATGTTTATGTAATTTTGATAAATATATCAGTTAAAAGGAGATGTCAATGTTAATTTCATTTTTGCGTACTTTAAACGACAATTGAGCCATCGCACCATATATACAATTAATGTTTACTCCTTAAAACAAAAACAATAGTCTTGTAATATGTTGTTGTTTTTTTCATTTGGCACACGTCAAGAGTACCCACTGAAGTTCGAACTACCGATTTTAGGAGTTGCTCATCAGTGTCAATCATGTGCGGATAGTGTAAAGAATAGCGTCTTAGAATTTGAAGTCTGAGAACTCCAGAAGAATGAGGGGTGAATCACTCTCCTCTCCCCAGGTATGGGTTAAATAGTAAATCTTGTATCTCGAAAAATCATTGTTATTCTTGAAAATTGTTAATGAGGTATAACTCGCATTAAAAATTAAAAATTGAATTATTCATACAATTAAAAGGGTTGGTAATCCATAAAAAACAATGAATCAATCGTCAGAGCAATTTGCCATCATTTTCTTTGGTGACCCCACGCAGCTAAATTATTTCTTAAATTTAGTTTTGTCTGACAGTAATGTATGTTCAACCTTTATTACAATTACAAGTGCTGTACGAATGACTAGGTTCGCTTATCGCTTATCGTTCCGTTCACACACTTCCCGCAACTTTTTGAACAGGAGGTGCAGTCTGAGGAGTTAGGTAGTCATGTGTAAGGAGTGAGGTGGTCGCAGAAATTAGCTGACTGCCATGACTGAGTTCTCCCGTTTGTGTGGCATGTGGAAGAGCCATGTTGCCAGGCATGGGGTCTTCCAGCAGACAACCTCTTGAAACAGATCCACACCAGCTACACAAGATACTTGGTGCAGGCCTTTGTGTTGAGACATTTTCTTATCAGAACAATCACAGTAAGTTTTTCGGGCTGCCGTACCTTCGTAATCTCTATTAGACACGTTTAACTCTTTTTTTCCGAATAACTGCACTGTACTCGGATTGACACCCAGGTACTCTGAAATGTTCGTATTGGAACTTCCGGTGCGAATGCCAAGCAGTACAGCATGCTGTTTCCAAATATCTGGCAGAGTGAATTGGGTCATGGTGCTCTTTTCCTCAGATAAAAAAATAAAAATACGACAATTTACAGACCGCACACATATATATTCGTATCTATCTATCTATCTATCTATCTATCTATCTATATATCTGTGCCTATGTATTCGTATCTATCTATATCTTGTCCTATCTATTTCAATATATTCATATCTATCTATCTATCTATCTATCTATTTTGCCTATTTGTCGCTATCTATCTATCAATCTAACTATTTATCTATGTATATAATAATATCTATCTAGCTAACTATCTCAGTCTATTCATATCTATCTATCTATCTATTTTGCCTATTTGTCGCTATCTATCTATCAATCTAACTATTTATCTATGTATATAATAATATCTATCTAGCTAACTATCTCAGTCTATTCATATCTATCTATCTATCTATCTATCTATCTATCTATCTATCTATCTATCTATCTGTGCCTGTGTATACGTATCTATCTATATCTAGTCCTATCTATTAAGTCTATTCATATCTATCTATCTATCTATCTATCTATCTATTTTTGCCTATTTGTCGCTATCTATCTATCGGTCTATATATTTATCTATCTATATCTAATAGTATCTATCATCTATCTATCTATCTATCTATCTATCTATCTATCTCAGTCTATTTCTTTCTTTCTATCTATCTCAGTCTATTCATATCTGTCTATTCCTCTCTCTCTCGTACTATATATATATATATATATATATATATATATATATATATATATATATATATTTGAAAGTGTATATAAATATAAATATGTATTTATATATTATATGCGCGGTACTTATTAGAAAGCGCTCAATATCAGAGATAGAGCTAACATATTTGGTTGATAGATGTGAGTTTGTGACCCTGGGTTTCACGCTTTAGGATCGTCAGACAAACTAATTAATGTTTTAAAAATGTGGGTTTATGTAGATTGCGTGTATTGGTGTTATTGTTGGAAGTGGTGGGGAAATTTCGTCGTTTTGTCATTCATCGTACTAACGCAAACATCGATGTATGCAGACACATATACATACTTGGTCGTCCGTCGGGACTCATACATATATAAACGTATGTGGGCAGTTTCGGCTATGACACATGTGTTATGTCTATACATACGCATTTGTATGTTGAAATGTTGAAATTTAAACATTGAAGTGTGGCGGAAATGTCTCGTTAATGTCTCGTTAATGTATATATATATATATATATATATATATATATATATATATATATATATATATATATATATATGTGTGTGTGTGTGTGTGTGTGTGTGTGTGTGTGTGTGTTTATCTCTCAGTATTTTCATATCTATCTATCTATCTATCTATCTTTGCCTTCTATCTATCTATCTATCTATCTATCTATCTATCTTGTGCATCAAAGATCAAAATTACTCCTTTCTCTCTTCTTTTCCTCTCTGATCATGTCAAAAAGTTTATATAACTGCTGGATTCATAAATGTCTTTACAAACTCTATAATTGCAACCTTGTCACGAAAGACAGAATGTTTCTTTAATGTCCGGGCGTGTATCTGGATTTAAGACATTAATTATATGAAAAGAGAGTTAGAAGCAGAAATAAACCCGAGCCAATGCCCATGTGGCTCTTTGCAAAATATTACATATGTATATCCGCTTACAACTATTGTCCACGCGCGCGCACGCACACACACACACGCACGCACGCACAGACATACATACACACACGCATATATATGATGAAGAATATAGCTTTAAGGCATGCTATATTTATGGTTAAAATGCTCAATATCAAGGATAGAGTGTGCGTAATAATAAAAGTATACACTAAGGTCAACACTGAGTGGCGACAGTCTGTTTCATATTCGAACGCAGTTTTCTGCGTTTAAGCATGAAGCAGACTATCGCTACTTGGCCTTGTCTTTGGTCTCCACTCTCATATATATATATATATATATAGATAGATAGATAGATAGATAGATAGATAGATAGATAGATAATATTAGTGGTAAATATACACATACATATGCAAAATATATAAATATATATATATAGATGCATACACATACATGTATATTTTTTTTGAATAAAAAAAATTCCAAGAGGATAGAATAGGATAGGACCATGGAATATCAGTGTTTAACCCTTTTTATTATATATATATATATATATATATATATATATATATATATATATATATATATTAAACTTTTTATTGATTTCAGAATCTGTTTCTAATAAAACAATATAAATTAGTTTTATTGTGTACGCTTTATGTAGAATTTATTTCTCTTTCGAATGATGTAAAAATTGTATATTTTTCTACAACTTGAAATATTTTAAGTCTCGATTAATTTAAATTATTTAAATTTGCCGGAAAATTAAATTTTAGACCGCATGGGTATTATTATATTTAAAGAAAAAAGTTATAGCAAAAATGACAAAAAAAAATATTTATCAATATTTAGTGCCGTAACCTTTATTATTAATTACAGCTTCACATCGCCTCAGCATCGGTCTTGATAAGTAAGTACAAAAATCATTTGGAATGCTCGACCATATTTTCTTAATATAATCCTATAATTGCGCTAAATTTGTCGGTTTGTTTAGCGTGAACTCTTTTAGAAATATAATTCCATAAACATTCGAAAAAAAAAATGGATGATCCAGAACATCTGAACTATTAACAAAATCATACTATTATCATGGGTACACCATATCCAAATGAAAATAGCGTTCATAATTCATTAATACTTGATGTGTAAACCTTTACTTTCAATAACTGCTTGACATCTTTTGCTACAAGAGCGAATTAATGCCTTGCATTCATTAACGGATATTTTCTCCCATTCTCCTTTCAAATTAGTCCATAGTTCTTCGACATTTGTTGGATTCTTTTCCTTAGCTCTTTCATTTAGTAACTTCCAAATGTTCTCAATAGGATTCATGTCTGAGCTTTGAGCAGGCCACTCCATAACAGTAACATACACCTCAGAAATAAATGTCTTAACAGTCTTCGCCGTGTGACATGGAGCGTTATCTTGCATAAATACAGCTGGTTGATTAATTGCAGTTCTCAAATTAGGTACAGGTTTCTTCAATATCTCTTTGTATACAGTTGCGTTAATTTTACCGTGTAGCCTAACAAGAGGTCCCGTACCAGCAAGTGAAATCATGCCAAACACCGTCACACTCCCTCCTCCAAATTTAACGCTGCTTTTAGTGCCCTGTGGCAAATATCGTTCCTTAGGACTGCGTCGTAGGAACCTTCTCCCGTCACAACCGAATAGGTTAAACTTTGACTCATCGCTGAAATGAATACAATCCCACTGTTCTTCATCCATATGACGTGTTCGGTGGCAAATTTCAATCGGTTCATTTGGTTCTTTTTAGAAATGCAAGGCTTCGTAGAGGCTACTCAACTGTTCAAATTTATTTCATTAAGTCTTCGGGAAATAGTGTGCCTTGATATTTTAATGCCAAAGTTAGCATTAGCTCTTTTAGAGATAGCGTTTGCTGTTGCAAATCGACCCTTTTTTGATTCATTACCAATCCATCTGTCTTCCCTTGCAGTAGTTTTTCTAAGCCTGCCAGGTGGTTTCTTGGCTTCACATGACCCAGTTTCGTCAAGTTTTCTTAAAATACTATCAATAAGACTTAGATTTCCCCACTATCTTTGAAACATCCCCAATCGAGGGTTTTTTTTCTTCTTTACGTAACTTGACTATCAGTTTTTTTAAGTTCCAATGACGTCACAGATATTTTTTTGTCATGTTTACAATGCAAGAGCCAGTAAAGAGCCGGTTAGTAAAATACCCTTTTTTATATTCTTACCCTAAAAAATTTTCAATAATGTAAAATAATTATTAAATTTTATGGATTTATTTAATCGTTCTGATGTTTTTGATCATCTATTTTTTTCGAATGTTATATAATTATTTCTTATAACTTTATCAAAATAAGTTTATTGAGCTTTATATTTTAGAATCATATAATTTACCTTGATATCCTTATTTTTCCTTGATAAAATGTTCTTTGAAGTTTTAAAATAAAAAAATCATTTCATATTTAGACTTTTTCTTAGCATCGTTCTGATATTTATGCTCGCTACTGTATATATATATATATATATATATATATATATATATATATATATATATGTTTCAATATTTATCAAACAAGTTTGATTAAAAATGAATGACAGGTCTGTCTTTATGTCTGTATATTTTTCGAATTTTTGGATATGTTGTTGAATATTTGCTCAAAGTTTGGATAGACTGTCCGAAGTTTTTTTTTGTGTGTGTGTGTAGGTGGGGGTTCATGTACTTTTGATTTTCTTGCATTACTTATACGTACTTCAAGATACCATCTTCTGCGTTGAATAATATTCTATTTAATGTAGATTGTTAGTTGATATGCATAGGTATGTCAAAGTGTTTTGTGTGAAAAGACGATGAAAGAAAAGAGCAACAGGCCTTATACATAAGTGTATGTACTTTTGTATATATATATATATATATATATATGCCCAAACAAGTATGATTAAAAGAGCCAAGGTATGTCTGTTTATTTTTTTTATCATAGTTTTCTAATTTTTGGATAAGTTTTTGATTTTCGCAAACATTATCAAGAACCGATGTGGTGTCTGTGTGTCTCCATCCTGGTATTATTTAAGAAGCTGGACGTTTGAAATGGTCTAGGGTGACGTCATATTTCACAGCTATTGGGAACGAGGCTGCACAAAATGATTGCGATTAATTATTTTTTTATTTTTTTTAAATATTTTTAATATTAATATAATGCGAGCGCACATCAGTTATGCCATATGCACTTCAAGGTATCATCTGCGTTGAATGATATTCTATTTAATGTGGGTTGTTAGTTGATATGCATAGGTATGCCAACGTGTTTTGTGTGAAAAAACGTATCAAAGGAAAAAGCAACAGGCCGTGTACACAAGTGGACGTATATTTGTGTGTTTGTATATATGTGCGTGTTTGTGTGTATGTGAGTGTGTGTGCGAGAGAGTGTGGAATAGACTATATAATTATATTACGGTTGCATGGATCTGGAAGCATTTAAAGGTCAGAATTGTCAAAGTAAATATTTTAAGTATCTAGTGCATGAAATGAACACACATACACACACACGCACGCACGCACGCACACACACACACATATATATGTGTGTGTGTGTGTGTGTGTGTGTGTGCATATATGTGTATGCGAGTGTGTGTACATATATAGGTATAAAAGTCCACATATATATAAAATAAAACAATCTGCCTGTTCACCGTCTCCCAGTGTAAATAACGTTGTTTAACCTTTTGCCTGTATCTCTAACTCTCTCTCTCTCTCTCTCTCTCACACACACTCTCTCTCTTCCTCTTTCTCTCCCTCTCTCTCCCTCTCTCTCCCTCGCTCTCCCTCCTCTCCCTCCCCTCTCCCTCCCCCTCTCTCTCTCTCTGTGCATAAGTATGGAGCTTTATTTCCTAATCCGTAATGAAGAGCAGGTTTTAAATCTTTGCCAGGTTCAACACGTGACTATTTCTTGTTTCCTCTAATCCCGTAATCTTCTTTAATCAGATAACAAAATCTTTAATCTTCCTTAGTCATATAACACAGTTTATATTTCACACTGCAAAGTGATGTCCACGAAAAAATACTCCATGATTTTTCAGTCCTCATAGAATTTCATAAAAGCAAACATTAACAATAAGAAACAATGTTTTTTTTTTTACTTTGCACGCAAATAGAAGATCTGACATTTGTTTTCTTTTCCCCTTCTTTCTTTTGAGTATAAGTGGATGTGAGGATGGTGTAATATATAGCGGCTCGAAATTAGAAATCGGGAAGCCAAGTTCGAATTCTAATCGGGTTCGTTATATTCACTTTTATTTATTTATTTTTTTTAAAGTGTTTCACCCCAAGCAAGGCGGGAAGACAAGTGGTTACAGAGAATTGGAGTGAAAGCAAATAGAAATGATAGAGGAAAGGATGAAGAGAAGGATAAGGGATAGATCAAGGCATCTGGAGACGTCGATTGACATTACATTTGAATAGTTGGAGATTATAGCTATCAGGGAAACAGGAAGAGGGGAGGGAGTTCCACAGGCGAGAAGTGCGAGATATGAAGCTATTGTAGTAGAAGAGACGGCTACATTTAACAGTTTCGAAAGTGAATGGATGTGAGCGAGATTCCAGCCTAGTAGAACGCTTAGATTCATAAAGTCTGGAAACCAGCGAAAGCAGCTCATCGGAGTAATTACCATGAAAGTATTTGTAAAAAAGACAGAGAGAGGCGACGGCACGTCTGTGAGAGAGCGACTGCAGACGAGATGCCAGATCAGGGCCAATTACGTTGCATATCTGTCTCTGGATCTTAGCAAGAACCTTGAGACAAAAAGTACGTGAAAATATCATTGGGAAAGGTATGAATCCATCTCTT